CTCTCTCTCTCTCTCCACTTTTCTGGTACCTAGAGCTCTTCTAAAGCAGTCAGACCGACCTCACCACTCCACTTTGCACTTTGGAACAGCTTTCCCTCATACGTAAAATGGAAGCGCCCACGCGAGTGGTCACCTGTTATAGCAGCTGATCTTTCTTCACATCAGATAGCAAAGGAGGGACCCCTAAGAATCAGGGGAGGGAATGGGCCACAGGTTTGATTACCTCCACAAAGTACGATCTCTTTAACCAAAGAAATGAACGGTGCCAGCCAACATGACTGGATGTTTATGATCAGGCATAATAGGTGAGTCCCAATCAAAAGAGAAAAGTGAGGAACAGAACTTCCAACTCCTGTGGATACCAGATGTACTAGATCAGCTGAGACTGGGCAACCGTTGGATCTACTGCCCAGAAATAATCTTTAAATCTTCACCCAATATTTCTCTCATGAAGCAATCTTAAACAACAGTTAGCACGTTTAGAGCTAATACTCTCTATGATGTAAACTGACTACAGTTCACCTGGAATGCAGATGAGAACTTTAAGAGACTCCCCCAAAACCAAAACCCACTGCCATGAAATCAGTTCTGACTCTCAGCAGCTTGTAGGACAGACTGGACTGTGGTCTTCAGAGAAGCAGACAGCCTTGTCCTTCCCCACAGGGCAGCTGGTGGGTTCAAACCACCATCTTTTTGGCTGAGAGCTAAGTCAGAATCTCTTTCTAAATTTCATCCGAGTGGATTATCTTTGTACATAAAATGCTCTCACTGCTTTGAAATAGCCCACCCTCCCTCCATCCATCCATCCGCTCCCCGCCTCCCCTCATTTGTTCCACAGCTAGTGATTGAGCTTTGGTCTGGACCAGGCACTGGCTGGGAGGTAGAGTGAGGCCAGATCCTTCCAGAAGATGGCCAGCCGGCCGGGGCACTGACGTGTGGCTTTGCTCTTGGTTCAGGGCGGAGCTGTATCGGGCCTCCGGGAAGTTCGAGCTCCTGGACCGGATTCTGCCAAAGTTGAGAGCAACCAACCACCGCGTGCTGCTCTTCTGCCAGATGACGTCCCTCATGACCATAATGGAGGACTACTTCGCCTTCCGGAACTTTCTCTACCTGCGCCTTGACGGTAAGGGTCAAGACTGGAGACCTACTCTGCTTTCCAGAACTTTCTTTAGTTGCACAAGTGTGAGGACTGGGATTCTACTTTGCTTTCCAGAATACTCTTTCTTGGTGCTTGAGGGTAAGTGTGAGGACGGCAAGACTGCTTTTCTTTCTAGAACTTTCTGTCTGAACCTCAACCATGGGAGGACCTGGGCTCTTAAGTAGTATGGCTGAAAATAAATGGATAGACGTCCTTCGACATAGCTTTACAGAGTTCATATCAAGATTTGTGGAGAGTTAATATGAAGAGTTAAATGTGTGAAGAGTCAAGTCACAGGGCTGGTAGTGGGGGCACTGAGCTGAGTGACCCTCATAGCCACTCTCTGCCAGAGATTGGAACATTCTAGGGGATGGTCAGTGCTCTGCCCCTCACCACAGTCCAGAGGCATCCAGCCTTCTGTATCTTCTTTATACATGGTCCAGCTTCACATGCATGTGAAGTGATTGAAACTACAATGGCTTGAGCCAGAGGCACCTGCATCTTTATACTGACATCCTGACCTTCGGCGAGGACACCAGGCGTCTATCAGGCGTGTATCGGTCATCAGGTGTGCACCAGGCACGTACCAGGTGTGCACCAGGCATCTATCAGGCCTGTATCAGGCATCAGGTGTGCACCAGGTGTATATCAGGTGTGCACCAGGTGTGTATCAGGTGTGCACCAGGCATACACCAGACGTGTATTAGGTGTGCATCAGGCATCTATCAGGCCTGTATCAGGCATCAGGTGCGCACCAGGCGTGTATCAGGTGCTCACCTGGCGAGTATCAGGTGTGCACCAGGTGTGTATCAGACATGCACCAGGTGTGTATCAGCTGTGCTCTAGGCATGTATCAGGCGTGTATCAGGCACCAGGTGTGTATCAGGCACCAGGCATCTATCAGGCATGTATCAGCATCAGGTGTGCACCAGGCGTGTATCATTTGTGCACCAGGCGTGTATCATGCTGTGTGAGTGGTGGAATAAGACAACAGTTTTCTTTGTAAATATTCATTCAGATTACAATGTTAAGAAAGAATTGTTATTAAATTGAACCTGATGGCAGGAGGTTTTTGGGGGTGAGGGGACTTTCTTATAAGATATCCTAAAAAGAAAAGAAAAGGTCTGCCTAGTTAGTTCCACACCATAGCGATACTCTAGGGAGCTCCGATGGCTTGGTGGTGAGAAGTTGTGCTGCCAACCCAGAGACACCTGGTTCTAATCCACCAGCTGTTTCACAGGAGAGTGAGGCCGTCTCCTCCCGCGCATTTAACTGCCCCTGAAAACCTGCTGGAGGGTCATCTGTGGGTCAGTGCCCACTCAACAGTACATTCCAACAAGGCTTCCCAGGGCCACCACGTCTGTGCGAGCAGACTCCCGCATCCTTCTCCCTGTGAGGGGTTTGTGGGTTCAAACTCCACCTGTTTTGTTAGTAGCTGAACGCTTTAGCTCGTGTGCCACCAGGGCTCCTGCCTCACAGCTCATTGCCCTCAAGTCGGGACTGACCCGAGGCTGACCTTCCAGCAGGTTCCTGAGGCTGTAAATCAGAGGAGGAGATGACTATCCGTCTCTCTCTGAGCAGCTGGTGGGTTCACACCTTCAGAGAGGTGCCGCCTTCCGCCTGGCAGGGCAGCGCCCTCTGGACCCCACCACGAGGGTTTCTGCAGGAGGAAATAATTACTTGTCATTTATCTACAGCAAACGTCCATTTTACCCGCTGAAACGCCTAGGAAACGTGGGAACTCTTCCTACGTGTCAGAAGTTTCTCCTAACACTAGCCATTACATCCTTGAAATTCCCAGGAGCGTAGATAACCCGTGAAGCCCCTTTTAAAGAGGGTTTTATCCTGCTCCTGACTCGGATGTGAGTGGCCATCCGTGTGCTCCCGTCCTTGGGCTCTTGAGCGAGGCCTTCTCCTGACCTCGCTTTCAGAGAGGACTCATTACAGATGACGTGTGGCATCTGACAGACAGGGTGGTTTGCACGTTTTCACGCATCCCCTCGAGAGTATCTGGAAAGAGAGCCGGAATTAAGTAAGTGTTAACCCTAATTCCTGTCTTGGCCAGTTTTTTTTCCCAAGAGTGTAAATCATCACCATCTCTCCTCACGTACAAGACAAATCCAACGTCAAGCCAGTTCCTGTGGCATTGAACTCATGGACTCGGTGGGTGTAGAGGACTTGCTGCAGGGAGTGCACAGTGGCTGATTTTTCAGAGTCCCGTCACTCAGCCTTTCATCTGAGACACCTCCGGGCAGATTCCAGCATCTACGTTAGCAGCGGTGTGCGTTAATGCCTTGCACCACCAGGGCCTCAGGTGAGGGGCAGCGGAACCACTTCGCCCCTGGACTTAAAGTGCCACGTTGCCTTAGGCAAGAATTCTTAAGGGAGCTCTGGTGGCCTCGTGGCAAGAAGCTGAACTGCAATCCCAAAAGCACGCGGTTTGAATCCACCAGATGCTTTGCTGGAGAAGGAGGGGCAATCTCCTCTTGTGCCAGTCGGATTGGATTCGACAGTACACAACAACAACAAAACACAAAACAAACAACAACAAAAAGTTCTGCACGTTGGACACTTTGCTTTGGACATCAGCTCTCTGAAGACATCAGCTTGGGATCCTGGAATCTGTGCCAGGTTGAGAAGTGACTTCCTGGAAACATCTCTTCAGTGTCCTCCTGCTTGAGAACCAAAATGACTAAGGTCCAGTCAATTCTGACCCTAGTGACCCTGCATCAGGTTCCTGAGATGTTCACAGGAGACTGTCCTCCTCTCCTGCAGGGCGGCTGGTGGATTAGAACCACTGACCTTCCCATAACAGTACAACACTTCACTCACTGACTGTACCCTCAGGGCATCTTGTTTCTAGGAAGAGGAGGAGTTAGGAGGTGAACAAGTCTTTTGGAGATGCTCAATTCAGTCAACTAACCAATTCCCTTTACACAGGTGAGCAGAGAAAGTTCTAGAGAGTGGCTAGCGTGCTCAGGTCCCCTGTGAACTCACTGGTATGAGATACAGGTGACAGCGGTCACACCTGGGGGAAACCACTCACAGGAGAGCAAGCCTGGGCTGGGATTCAGGGGGCTGCGTGCCACCTTCGATTCCTGTATAACTGATGGGCTTCTCCAGTCACGGAGAATATTAAAAACCGCCCTCGTTACATCACTGTAGAACTGGAGAGCCAGAGAGAATCATGGCCCAGCCAAGATGGCACATGTATTTTTGGGGGACAATGTCGTGCGTGACAGCTGGACACAAGAAGCAATAACCTACTGTTTGGGGGTGAAGAGAATGGATTGGCAAACAGGGTAGATGGTGATGTGGGCTGGCTTCGAATCAACCCTGACTCAAGGTGATTCCATGGACAGTGAGGCTGGACTGCTGTGATCATAAGCTTTTCATGAGCTGATTTTTCAGATGGAGATTGCCAGGCCTTTCTTCCTAGTCCTTCTTTGACTGGAGGCTCTATTGAAGCCTGTTCAGCATCCTAGCATTATTTGGTGTAATGGCTGGGATTAGAACCCAGGTCTCCTGCATGGAAGGCAGTTACTCTGCCATTGAGCTGCCACTGCCTTCGACACTGAAGACGCACACGTGTAAGTTAGTACACACTCTTAGCGCTGAACCACCCTCACTACCAACCCTCTCCCAAAAAATGACTGGATATTCCTTACTGAACGTAATGCTTCAGGGGGTGGGGGGAAATAGAAATTGCTTCATGAGAACTAAGCACATTTTCCCCTGTAAAGACCACAGCTGCAGGAATCAGTGTAGCTGAAATCACATGACTGTTTCTGTTCCCTCCGGAAGTGTGTTTGAGGGGAACCAAGTAAGGAGGGTTCCTCTTAAAGACAGCATTTCCCCAGTGCAGCTGTGCTCCATGAAGATTAGTCACGCAGGGATCCTGGCTATGTGCTGCCACACACAGGTCCTGAGCTGCTCAGCTCAAATGCCATTGCCTCTAACTGCTTTCTCCTAATCGATTACTCATCTGATACTGAGGGGCTGTGAGTCTGCCCCTCACCCCACGTCTTCTGTCCTTGGCCACCTGCAGGAAGCATCTGCGCTTGGGTAAAGCCCTAAATGGTAGCTGGAATCTTCCCCAGTGGCTGAGCTCTCTCCTGCCGCTGTAACCAGATGACCACAGGAGGAGGGTGTTAACAAACAGAAGTGTGTTCTCCCACCGTCTGGAGGCCTGCATTCAGGGTGCCAGCTCTCAGGGTCAGCTCTGGAGGAAGGCCCTGTGTTTCAGCATCTGTGGGTCCAGCGTCCCTTGGAGTTTTCCACAGGTCTTGGCATTTGTCTTCTTTTGTGTCCAGGAGGTTCTCAGCACAGGGACCCAGGTCCAGAGGATGTGGTCAGCTCCTAGATCTTTGCTTGTTGGTGCTGAAAGTCACTCTGGTCTCTGCTCTTGTTTAATCTCCTCTATATCTCAAAAAAAATGGAGTAAAAATATAGTCTCTATAGATTGCCTCCTGCCTCATCAGTGTAACTGCTTCTGATTCTGCCTCATTAGCATAATTTCTTCTCCAAAAGAATATACAAATCTGACTTGGAGGAAATGCAACCCGAGTGCTCCGTAGAGGTGAGGATGGTGAAAGTTCATTTCACATACGTGGGGCATGTTGTCAGGAGCGCCTTGTCCTTGGAAAAAGCCTCTCACTGGGAAATGTGGAGGGTCAGCGAAAGAGAGGAAGGCCCCCAGCAAGATTACCTGACAGAGTGACCACAGGCAGAGTGGGCTTGGGCGTGGCGGAGAGTGTGAGGATGGCATGACAGGCGGGGTTCCGGTCTGTTATCTTATTGGGTCACAATGCATTGTGGTCAACTCAATGACAACAACAACATCATCATAGAGGGGAGGATTTACACACAGGGTAGTGACGTCAGATCACAAAACATGGGATGACTACGTAACACTAAGTAAGTGTCATGGTCCAGCCATGTGGACACGTAGTGGGAGGTGGGGGAAGACACACAATTCCATCCCTCGCACGAAACGAGTTTGCCAAGAAATAAAATCCACAAAGATCTTTATTTGGGTGCCTTTGATGGCTGGAAATGGTAGCCCAGAAAATCCTGAGGTTTATAATAAGAAGTACTGTAGCTTTGTCTGAAAACTGATTGCATCATGTTTTTCCTGGTTTTTATACATTTTCACAGGCCCCGCGATTCATACACATTTAAACACACCCTCTTATACTAGCTGGTCTGTTGAATGACATTATTTGGCCCATGGCTTGAAGACGTCTTTGGCTAAGTAATTTTGAGAATTCTTCTGGTTTTCAGTCTTTTCTTTTATACTCAGGGTTTCCCCTACCCATTTAGCAAGCAAATCTTCTATCCCACTTAATATTTTCATGAAAGGGAATTGTTGATTTCATGATAGGAGTCTCCGTTTCTGTGCTTGAGAGCTGAGTCCAGCTCTTGGTCAGTGCATTCACAGCCATCACCTGTTTATCAGAGAGGGGCTGGGTGTTGCTGTGACACTAAGCGGTTTTCAGAGGAGCTTCCAGGCTGAGAGACTAGGAAGAAAGGCCTGGAGATCTATTTTGGAAAATCAGTGCCGTGGATGCCTAAGGCTCACAGCAGCCAATCACACGGACAATACAGAACCAGAGAGTGGTTCTGCTGTACACAGGGTCATCTAAAGCCCGGAGCTGACCCCACCCTGCGAACAGTAGCATCTGGATGGATGTGATCTTCATCATGCTATCACAGTAGTTGAATAGCTATCCTGGGACTTAACCTAGATATGCAGACTTTTGACTCTGTTCTCAGAAAACACAGGAGCCCTGGTAGTGTGGTGAGTATGGTATTCAGCTGCTAATCTGAAGGTTGACGGTTCAAACCCACCAGGCTTTCTGAGGGAGAGACACAGGTAGTCTGCTTCTGTTGATATTCACAGGCTTAGAGAGTTATGGGCACTTCTGCTTTGGCATGCACGGCTGCAGGGAGTCCGAATGCACGCAGAGGATAAATGCAGGGACCATGAACCCATCTCAGCAATGGCTTCTTTTCATTTCTGCCAGCAGAGAGGCAATTTGAGAGAACTTTCTGGCTAAAACAAGACTTGTCTTCGATTAACATCTTGAACAGATGGTTGCCCATGATCTCAGCAAGGCAGCTCTGAAAATAAAACTCAGAAGCAGCCCCATGCATCTGAATCCTGTCTCAGGGTAACAGGGTGACGTGTGCAGTGCTGGTCCCCCAAACCTGAGCGTCTGACGCTGACTGCCACAGACAAGGTGTGAACGGTTCGTTCACTCCGAGATCTAATTTAGAGTCAACCATGTCTAGAGAGGTGGCTTCGTAAGTGGGGAGTGCCCCCACCCCCTCACCCCCGTCTGCTGTTAAGCAGGGAGCCCCTTTTTTTTCTTTCCTTCCTCAAGAGGTTGGTTGTTATTTTTACTGAATGTGAAAAACAGATCCAACCTGTTCAGGGACTGAGGTCTCCGGGGTAACTTGATGCTGTTAGCTGTAGCCACGTAAATCATTTTAATCTCCTGAAACTAGTCCCTGGTATATTTTTATCTTTAAAAAGAACAGCACACCGATGTGAACAACAGTGTATACGATCTTTGTAAGTAGTCCAGAATAAAATAAAAATTTTATTTTTATTAAAAAAAGAAAAACAGTACCGAGAACTGGTATTGCCGCAGGCAGAACAGTCCTGTCCCGTAACGTGGTCTGTCTGTCCCAGCGTGTTCAGAACCCCCATCTAAACGTGGCCGGTGCATTATCGGGGGTGTCTGTGGGTCTGTGTGTTTGTATTTCTTCCACATTGCACTTCACTGTCCTTGGGTGGTGACGGTTGTGTGCCTTGAATAGAAACCAGCTCATAACTGTCCCCCCAGCCAGTGTTCAAGGGCAGTAAATCCTGTAAGAGGAGACTGTCCATCCTTCTCCTGTGGAATAGCTGGTGGATTCGAACTACATGCCTTTGGGGTTACAGCACAGCTTCTTGCCTCTGGGCCACCAGAGTTCCCTAGTCCCCTGGGAAGATACAGTAAATAGACAATAGTAGTATGTGGTTGAACAAGAAGCTGTGGTGGTGCCTTGAACCTGGGGCTGCTAAGGGAAAGTTGAGCATCGATGATTGGAATCTGAAGGGGAAAGATGAAGCCATCTGCCTCTGTGAAGATGTGTTGCCGTTGTTGTTGTCGTTGTTAGGTGGTGTTGAGTCACCACACCGCACAGTGACCCTGTGAACAGCCCATCGGAACCTTGTCCTGTCCTGCGTCAGTGTCACCATGTCCGACGTGCTCAAGGCCATCGCTGCAGTCACAGGGTCACTCCATCCAGTGAGGACCTTCCTCGCGTTCTCTGACCCTCCACCCTTTCCTAGCACGTGGTCTTTTTCCCAGGACTCGCCCCTCTTGACCTCATGACCAGAGCTTCACCAGCCTTGATCTAAGGAGAATCCTGGCTGCTTCTTAGAGACTTCAGGCTTGAGCGCCCTAAGGGACAGCTTGCCTCTGTCCTCCAGCGTCTCTGTGAGGGGAAATACTGGTATTGTTTTATTATTTATTTTTTTATTTAAATTACATTTGTATTAAATAGTGAGTTGGCTGTGTTGGTGGCGGTGTTAGTACGGCTCGTAGCGTTTGGTAGTTACCCTCTGTGAGCATGGTTACCCTCCAGCATCCATAGAGTCTGAAGTAGTTATCCTCTACTTGGTAGTGCAGTGGATAAAACAGTAGACTGTTAGCCCAAAGGTTGATGGTTCAAATCCTCCAGCCGAGAGGAGCAAGATGGGCAGTGTGCTTCCATGAAGAGGGCAGCCTTGGGAACCCTGTGAGGCACTTCTCCTCCGCTCTGTAGGGACTCAGCTCCCCCACATTCTGTTTACGGTTTAAGGTAAAAATGAGATCTAAAACCATCAGCCGCCTCATCTGGGCTCCCAGCTCCATGGGGAGCTCTGGTCAGAGCGCTCTGAGCTGCTGAGAGGTCAGCAGCTGGAACTCAGCAGGCTCTGTGGGAGAACACAGGACATCTGCTTCCCTGTCCTCACTGCCTTAAAACCCCTGGGTCCTCTACCTCCTTGGCCATAATGGGCCCCACAGCTGGGGGGCTGATGCCCTTCAGCAGTGCTGCTTGAAGCCATTAGCATCATTGTAGTGACTGTCAACTGCTGTTTGAAAGGTTGAGGGTTCAAACCCATCCAGAGACATGCTTGGAAAAACATCTGGAGATGATCTTGCAGAAGTGACGGTCTTGAAAACGCTCTGTTCTGCACACGTGGGGTCGCCAGGAGTTGGAATAACTTTGACACCGACGCACTTGTTTGTAAAGCCGTTGAGTAATTTCTGACTCACAGCAGCCCTCCGTCTGGTTCTCAAGGCTGCAAATCGTGGGAAATCGTACGTCTTCTCACTCGGAACTGCTGGTGGATTAGAACCGCCAGAGATCAGAAGCCATGAGTTAACAGGACAACCAGAGCACCCTCATAATTGTTGTAGGAAGGGGTTGGTTTTGGTTTTTTTTTGTTTGTTTGATTTTCCCCACCAACTTGTCAAATCTTTTTTTTATTTATTCACTGATATTATAATATCCATGCACATAGAAAGAAGATCTGCTAGTATAATTATTATTCAAAAATTCACACCAACCAGTAAAAGCAAAGATTATGAAATCAAGGATTTTAACTGATTTTCAGCCTGAAATTTTTCAAGTATGCAAATAAAAGGTATTAATAATAATAATTGATTACCGGAATGCCAAACTTGGAAACAAAGAAGAATGACTGGCAGTTGGAAAAGATGGTCTTGTTTCCAAAAATAAGGTCAAAGATCACATAATGGAATTCTGTACACTTAATCATTTATTCATTGCTAATATATATATATTTTAAATTTCTGGAGTTTTTTTTTTCTGTGTGTGTGTTTGTATGTGTGTTAGTAGGTTTGGGAAGTTATTTGGTCTTCTAAAGCACAGGGGGAAAGTCCAAAAAAGAAAAAAATGTTTTCATTAGATATTTTAAAAAGCCTCATTGCCACCAATTCAGAACCGACCCCAAGCTGACCTGCCATTGGGTTTCTGAGGCGGAGAATTGCCCGGGACAAGATTGTCTTGTCTTTCCCCAGCTGGTGGATCTGAACTGCTGGAGAGGTGTGACCTTTGGGTTAGCCACACGGCTCCCTGTAGACTGTGCTCCCTTCATTAGGTTGTGCTAGAGAAAGAAAGTTCTAGAATCTGTCAAAGTCTTAGGAAGGTGTCTAGTCAGAAAAGTGGGAGCTCATTTCAGGTCAGTTGGGTAGAAGACAGTGTCTGCTCCTTCTTGATATGAGACGAGTCTTGTGCCTCCTTCTCTCTCTTCCTAAATTGCAGAATGTTCAAAGTTTCTCTCAAAAGCACCGAACGTCTGGCGTGCCCTCTCTGGGGTTAAGAGTCTGGATTAATTTTGCGAGGCACCTGGCCCTCTGGTCCTGCCCTGTTCCACTTCTAGACAGGAGTTAATTGGCAAATCCATTTTCTTGTCCCCAGGCACCACCAAGTCAGAAGACCGAGCTGCTCTGCTGAAGAAATTCAACGAGCCGGGATCCCAGTATTTCATTTTCCTGCTGAGCACGAGAGCCGGAGGCCTGGGATTAAACCTTCAGGCGGCCGACACGGTGGTCATCTTTGACAGCGACTGGAACCCACACCAGGTGTGTGTCCTCCGGGGGCAGGTGCTCAGGCCCCACTCCTGGGGAAGAATCTCAAACCTCCACCTTTGTGGACAGAGTAGGGCATTCCTTGTGGGCGGATGTGTCCTCCTTGTTGGTGCCAGCAAGTCATTGCCCCCTCATGACAGAGCAGAAGCGCCCTGCGGGTTCTTCTGGCCTTGACCATGTTGGTTCTTCCGGCCGTAACCATTAAAGAAGTAATCATCAAGTCTGTGTCCGTGCAAGCCCTGGGTAGATTTGAACCACAAACCTCTCAGCTAGCATCTGAGTTCTCAGTCGTTTTGTGACCAGTGCATTGAGAGAGCTTCCTCTCTCCCTGGAAGTGACCGTGTAAGATGGTCTCCACGTGCCTTTGACGAGCTCAGGCTCTGGGTGGACAGGTCCACTTCTGCTGAGTTCTTCCCTGTATCCTGGGATCATCACTCAGCAGAGGACATTTGGTGAGGAATCAGTCTTCAGCGTCTAACAGACAGGAGGTAGTCTAGGCCAGCCACTTGGGGGGCCTGTCCGAGCTTTCAGCCTCCCTCTGAGGTGGTTAATAGTGTGTCTGCACTTTAGTCAGAGAGACGGTGACTCCAAAGGTCAGAGGCTTGAACTTACCCTGAGGTGCCTCAGTGCAAGGACCTGGCGACAGTTTTGAAAGCCCTCAGCCTTGAACACCCTCCAGGGCAGTTCCACGCCATGTCACACATGAGGTCACCACAAGGAAACCTGAGTTGATGGTAACGGACAACAACCAGGTTAAGTCATTGTCCAGGAGCAAGCAGTGAACACACCACCAAACCCAGCAAGACCCTCTGCTGTCTGGTCAATTCAGACTCCCAGAGACCTGCTCTCAGGTCTGAGACTGTAAGGTTTATATGGGAGACTGCCTCACCTTCCCCCCTCAGAGCCGCCGGTGGATTCAAACCACCTGTTACCTGGGCCTCAGAGCCTAGTCAGGACAGCGTGTCCATCATATCCAGGACCTTACACACGCATACACACACAGGCACCACCACCACAGCCCAGCGGAGTGCTTGGCAGCCCACTTCCCGGCTCCGACAGAACTTGTTTAAAGGTCCCCCGCCTCTGACCGGCCCTTGTCGCTGTCTCCCCCGTGCTCTGCGTCTTCTCAGATGGAGTCTGGCGAGCTGCCCCCACCACCTGTTTTCCCAGGATCTGCACACTCAAATCGCTGTTTACATTTTTATAGAGTTTAACAGAAGACAGCACATAACTCTTTGGCAAGAACAGCTACTCACCTTTGCTCCTGCTCTCTGGCCCTTTCCAGAATCTTTTGACAACATCTATTCCAGGAGATCAATCAGGGTGGAGACCAGAACTGCTAGCGCAAAGTTTTGACAGTTCAAACCTACCCAGAGTTGGCGCAGAAGACGGGCCAGCCAATGTTCTTCTGGAAGGTTCCAGCCTTGGAAACCCCGTGGAGTGTTCTGCTCTGCAAACAGGGGTTCATGAATCAAATCAGAATTGCCTTAGAGGGGAGGGGGCTTCACTAGGGGGCTCTGTTTTGGTGGGCATTTGTCTGGATTTGCTGCTTTACAAACATGGTGTCCTTTTCTGACATGGTCATGCTGAGACGTCCACAGTAAGCCTGGTCAACTCACGCATCTTTGGGAGTGGTCCCGAGAAGGTTGGGTTCCTTCTAAGCCTGCCTGTCTGTTCTCTGCACCATCCTCAGATGCTTGGCCTCCTGGTGGACTCCTCCCAGGCCCAGTGACCATGACGCCTCGAGCGCAGGGTCCATTCAGGCCCGCCGACCATGACACCTTGAATGCGTGGTCTGCTCAGGCCTGCTGATCGTGACACCTTGAGTGTGGGGTCCACCCAGGGCCGCTGATATGACACCTCGAATGCAGGTCCACCCAGGTCTGCTGACCATGACACCTCGAGCACAAGGTCCACCCAGGCCCGCTGACCATGACGCCTCCAGCACAGGATCCGTCCAGGCCCGCTGACCGTGGCACCTTGAGCGTGGGGTCCTCCCAGGGCCACTGACGTGACACCTCGAATGCGGGCCCACCCAGGCCCACTGACCATGACGCCTCCAGCACAGGGTCCTCCCAGGCCCGCTGACCATGACGCCTCGAGCGTGGGGTCCTCCCAGGCCCACTGACCGTGAGTCTCGTTCCCTCCGCAGGACCTGCAGGCCCAGGACCGTGCGCACCGCATCGGCCAGCAGAACGAGGTGCGTGTGCTCCGTCTCTGCACGGTCAACAGCGTGGAGGAGAAGATCCTGGCCGCCGCCAAGTACAAGCTCAACGTGGACCAGAAGGTCATCCAGGCAGGCATGTTTGACCAGAAGTCCTCGAGCCACGAGCGGCGAGCCTTCCTGCAGGCGATTCTGGAGCACGAGGAGGAGAACGAGGTACCAGGAGAAGCCGGGCGGGAGGCCCAGCCGTGGCAGCGGGGCTGAGAAGGGCTGGCAGGGACCCTGATTCCCGAGAGATCTTCTGGGGTGGGCGTTAGTTCAGAGGATGCGTCCCTCCCTTCCAAGCACATATCAGGCCAAACCAGACCCGCTGTCCCACTGCCAAGTGGGCCCCCACTCAGGACAGAGCAGAGCTGCCCACAGCTTTCCGGGGCTCCAGGTCTTTCCAGAAGCCCACAGCCTCGTCCCTCTCCCACAGAGCAGCTGGTGGATTCAAACTGTCTCCTTTGGGTTAACAGGCAGATGCTTTAGGCAGTGTACCATTAGGCCTTCGTGTCCAGGCTCAGTCCATCAAAACAGGAAAGTGACAAAACCCAGTATTCCGAGTCGATTCAGACTTACAGCAGCACGCCAGGAGGCTTCTGAAACTATAAATGGTTTTTAATTGTGATTTGCGTAAATGTTATCAAAATGTATTAGTTTTTCATTCAGGCACTCAGACACATTTTGTTTTATAATGTTAATTAAAATGTTGTTGTTGTTATGTGCCATCAAGTCGTTTGCGACTCATAGCGACCCTATGCACAACAGTCCTAAGCTCAAGGAACTGAAGAACAAATTCAAACCTCCAGTTGCTGTAATCAAGGATGCTTTGGGCAGAATATGAAATGATCCAGGAAGTATTAAAAGAAGATGGAAGGAATATACTGAGTCATTGTATCGAAAGGAATTGGCAGAGACAGAAGAATTTAATGAAATAACATATGAGCAAGAGCCTATGGTGATGAAGGAAGAAGTTCAAGCTGCTTTGAAGGAAATAGCAAAAAATAAGGCCCCAGGAATAGATGGTATACCAACTGACATATTTCAGCTAACAGATGCTGCCCTGGATGTGCTCACGAAATCTTGTGAGCACACGAAAGTTGTGCCAAGAAATCTGGAGAACAACCACTTGGCCAACTGACTGGAAGAGATCTATATTTGTTCCCATCCCTAAGAAGGGTAACCCAACTGAGTGTTAATTAAAATACCCACAAATAAATAAATAACAATTTTAAAATAAAGTATGCACTCTCCCCACTTTCTCCCTACAATTCTCTTCTCCATTAATCTCTGATCGCACCCCTCAAGCCGGCAGAGCTTTATCCTACCGGATGCTGCAGTTTCGACCTTACAGTCTAAGGAGGGGGCTCCTTCCTGGGATTATCTTTGTGGGTGGAACTGGCCCGTCTTTCGAGCAGCTGGTGGATTTGAACCACCGCAGAGCAACACAGAACCCATCATGCTGTGAGAGCACCTCTCCAAGCACATAGTGTCTCCGGACGGCAGATGGTGTCTTCAAAGCGGTTCAGATACAGCGGTGACATAACAGTAGAGTGCTTGACGACGACCAGAAAGGCTGATGGTTCAAACCCATCAGGGGGCAGAAAGGCCTGACACACCCTGGTTAGGGTTACAGCCTCGAAAACCCTTTGGGGAGTTTCATTCTGTCACAGGTGGGATTGCTGAGTCAGACAGCAGCTCAGAGGTAGCAACAGAGGTGACACAGCCTTGGCGGGGGACACTTCCCTCACCTGTGCAGCCTCCTGTAGGGCAGAGGGGGGCTGCAGAGAAGCCACTCACAGGGTCGAAATCGGAGGCAAAGCAGGGAGGGTCCCCCTCTCCTTTCTTTCCCCCAACCCCCAGCTCCCTAGACTTTTGGTCAGGTCCCCCAGCACTTCAGCATGTATGTAACTGGGCAGTGCGAGAAAGGCTCACGCTCACGGCTAAGTCCACCCAGAGGTGCCTCAGAAGAGAGACCTGGCAGTCTGCTTCTGAGGAAGTAGCTACCACCTCAGGCCGTCTCATTGAGGGTCTCTGAGTGGCTCACAACATGATGGTCGCGAGCGCTAGACCTGGGCCCTTCTCCTCTGTGGCCTGCCCAGTGTGACCCCTATGCTCTGGGACCTGACTTGTTAAGACCTTGGGCATTTGTCCAGCACTTTTCTAACCCCGGTGAAATCCTCGTGTCCCGCCTGTAGGAGGAAGACGAGGTCCCGGACGACGAGACGCTGAACCAGATGATCGCCCGGCGGGAAGAAGAATTCGATCTCTTCATGGTAAGGCTGCACGCACTGCAGGCCACTGGGAGTTCCTCTCCCGTCTCCTGAAGGCCGGCGGTACACGCTGCAGGCCACGGGCATGGCGTTCCTCCCCGTCTCCCGAAGACCAGCTCTGGCTACCGGACCTGGGCAGCACAGCTCTGCGAGGCCTGTGCCCTGTTTTCTGTAGATGGGCTGGATTCCGCCTGCGGACAGATTTTCTTTGGTCAAGATGGTATATTTCCCCCCTCCCCAAATGTTTCAGTTAGTTGGCACCCTCCAAAGAATCCTGACTGCTGACTGCTCTTGGAAAAAGGAGACCGGGCAGTAACAAGCCCACATGTCTGTGTGCAGATGACTGGGTGTGCTGAGCAGCTGTGTCCCTCCCCGGCCACTCCTGCTGCCCGGCCAGCGCTGCCCAAGCACCTGGCTGCCTCCTGGAGGGGTGTGAGGTGACGGCTGTGCTGTCCCCTTCCTGGATGGCAGTGGCTAGGCTCCCTAGTGGGGCGGGCGGGGGCCCTGGGTGGTGCATATGGTTAATGCAACCCAAAACGTTGAAGGCTTGAGTCCTCCTAAAAGTACCTAGGAAGAAAGGGCTGGCAACCTGCTTCCCAGAAATCAGTCGTTGAGAACCTGTGGAGCCAGAGCTATTCTGACATACGTGCGGTCGCCTGGAGTTGGGGTCAGCTGGATGGTGGCACCCGGTGTGTGTGGGCTTTCTGGGGAGCAGGACAGTGGGATATGAGAGAGAATCCCTGACAGGTGCAGGACACGTGCTCAACCACTGACCAAGAGGTCAGTTTGTCAGACCATGCAGCAGTGCCCTGGAAGAAGGCTGGCGATCTACTTCCGTAGAGATGACCACCAAAAGTCTTTACTGTAGAGATTACTCAGAGGCACCGGGGATAGGGCATTTGGGGCTTTAATAGGAGGAAGGTGACAGTACCTGTGTGGACACAGCTGTGTCATCCTGACCAGGAAAGAGAACTGTTAACCATTTAAGCTGTGAGCTTCAAGGTGTGTATAGATGTGTGGGTGGGTGTACATGTGTTAGGTGTGTAAGAGGCAGTGTAGGTGAGTATAGAGGTGGTAGGTGTGTGAGAGATGGTGTTAGGTGTGTGTAGATGTGATGTTAGGGGTGTAGAGGTGGCGTTAGGGGTTTGAGGCTGTGATTGATGTTAGATGTGTAGAGGTGGTAGGTGTGTGAGATGTGGTGTTAGGTGTGTGTAAAGGTGTTCAGTGTGTGTAGATGTGATGTTAGGTGTATAGAGGGGGTAGGTGTTTGAGAGGTTAGGTGTGTAAGGATGTGATGTTAGACGTATAGAGGTAGTAGGTGTGTGTCTGTTAGGTGTGTGTAGATGTGATGTTAGGTGTATAGAGATGTGTAGGTGTGTGAGAGATGCCATTAGGCACTGTGACAGGTGGTATTTGATGCTGTGGCTGTCAAAAGCCTGAGAAAGACCAGGCATTAATGTCCCTGCTTGTAGCTTTGACTTTTTGTGGTGGGTGGCCACGCGCGGAGTGCTGGGCCCTGGACCTGACTGACCCCCTGCCTGTCACAGGCCCTCTGCCCCAGAGGGAGGCTGTGTTTGGCCCTGTGAATCATGCGGATGGCCTCCCATAGGCGTTGCTGGGGCCGCTCTGCATACCTCTGCCTCCACACTCACGGCCCATCCTGGCACGTAGGGGCTGCCTGATAAATAGTTATTGGCTCGGTGGTGGCATTTGCAGAGATGCCTGGATTCATCAGATTGTATAAAGTTGAGCGCTCCCCGCCCAGTACCTCCAGGCATGTTGATTTCCGTCCTGCTTGTGGGGTGAGAAGTTACGTGCCAGCGATAACCCGAGAGGCTGAATGCTTCTGGACCACAGAATCAGGAGCTGCACGTTTGCAGACACTCGGACCTCAGACAAGGTCTCTGGGTGATCCCAGTGGTGTGAGCAAATCACCCTCCGTGACGTGGTGCAGCCCCCACCCTCATGGTGCAGCAGGAGCAAGCAGCTTCCGATCCAGTGACAGCTGGGATCACTCTAAACAGGGTTGATGGTGGGACATACAGAGTGGGAGGGGAGTGGGAAACAAGTGTCAAAAGCCTGAGAAATACTAGGCTTATCTGGTTTGATAGAGATGGGTGGGACCCCCAAAACTGTGGCCCTTCGATACCTTACAACCCCTGAGGGTTGACTTTTTTTCACTAGTTTATTTATAAAATTCTAATACGTATTCAAACAAATTCTTTCAATTTCCCTCCTCCCCATCCATCAAATTGTACAGCCCAACGATTAATCCCCTCCTCCCCCTGCACATCCTCATCCCTCTGCTTCCGGCCTCTCCCACCCCTCCTGGATCCTTATACTCCTTCTACAATAACGGTTTTATACAATATTTATCCTTGTGGGACTGAGTTCGTTCACTCAGCAGAATGCTCTCCAGTCTGAGGGTTGACTTTTGAGCTCCACAGTGAACAATGACAGCAGAGGTGCATACCCCTTATAACAGGGTCACCCCGGGGTGACGTAATCCTGAGGGGAGACAGATGGACTGAGAGCGACTACCACAGCGGGCTCGGGAGGACAGAGGTGTGAGGAGGGGCCAGGGTAGCACACGGTTCAGAACCGTTGTTCACTGGGTCACTGGAGTCTTCATTGACGTGCCGGCATCTAACACAACCCCAGGGAAGCTGCACTGACAGCTCAAGGGCTGTGTCATCCCTGGCAGTTCAACCCAGCAGTGACTCTGGGAAGAAAGGTGGGAAATCTGTCACGCAGCCACAGAAACCTAGTGGAGAGCCAGCGGTCACTCGGCGGCCTTGAGGAAGCTCAGAAGGCAGGAGAGGGTAGATGGAAGGACAAATGGAAAGGAGAAGCATGGGGAGAAGTGGGGAGAGTGCTTCTGCACCGGGGGGCTCGCAGCCAGAGTCATGAAACTCCAGGAACTGTTGGAGGCTGGACCAGCTGGCACTGTAAACGTTCACCCAAATCACAGCAGAACGTTTTTTAAAAAGTGACAGCTGAGCAAACCTCTGTGGAGTTCCAGTGTGCGGCCAGGGCCCCCCAGGGCCCCCAGGAATCAGCATCAACAGTGAGGGCTCAGACAGTAACTCAGACAGTCAGACGGAGAACTGATGAGGGGCGCTGGGCAGTGGGGGAGGCTTTATCCCAGGGTCCCAGAGCTGCAAGGGAGGCGCAAACCTGTCTCACCAGAAATTTCGATTTTTCAAGAGAATCCAGAGGTCTGGGTTTTCCTATGCAGTCTCTGAGCTTCTAAATGCTTGCGACTAAACTTTCTAAGAGGATGATGATGATGGTGATGACAGTGCAGCTGAGCTTACTCTGAGTCGTACTCGACTCGACGACACTAAACCACCGCTAAATGAGACTAGTGCTGTTGTATCTGGAGGAACACTCTTCCACTGTGCACATCACTCTTTGTCAGTGTGCTGTATGAAGTAACCTGCGTTTGCTGTGATGCTGAACCTTGTGCCATGGAGATATCAAATACCAGAATGGTTTCCCAATGTGGACAGTGTTTGGTGGAGCTCCCAGTTGTAAACAGATTTGGAAGCAGGAGTGGCATCCGCTTCCTCAACCACATGCCTCTGGAAACTCTATGAACTTGGAATAAAAACGATAACTATAGAAAGGCATTAGGTCTTTTGTTCAGAGTCGCTATGAGTCAAACTTGACTCGACGGCAATTAACAACAATAACATGGTCTTTTTATTATTATTGTTTATATTCATTATTATTTAACACTGTGGCCCAACACGACCCTCTAGTGTGGTCGTCCCCACCGCTAGCCTCCTCAGGCCTTGAGAGGGGTGGCCAGCAGTGTGGGGGATCCCCTGTTGTTACGGTTTCTCTCTGGGGAACTTGGACTGTGTCCACGCATCCTGACTCCACAGAAGAGGCTCTGGAGTCCTTCTCGGGGCACTCACCCACACCAGAACCTCCTGACCTAGGACGCCTGCCTCCGGCTGAGGAAACTCCCTCAGTTAGATGGTGCTCGTGGTTACGCGCCAGACTACTAACAGAGAGGTCGGCAGTTCAAACCCACGCAGTAAACCTTTGGAAGCAAGCCCTGCAGGTCAGCTTCGGTTCCCTCACGGCCTGGAGAACCCGATAGGGACAGCTCTGCTCCAGAACATGTGGGCTTGCCACAAGTCAGGGCTGATTTGATGGCAGTGACTTAGCTAACGACCGTACCCCAAAACCAAACAGACACACCGCTGTCGATTGGCCCCAATTCCTAGCACCCCTCCTGGACTGAGTAGAACTGGCCGAGGCTGTGAATCTTACAGGAGACTGCCACCACTTAGGGCCATTTTGGAGAGAAAAATAGAAGGAAATGGGCCCATGCAGGGCATTTGTCCTCTCACCATTTTCACAGATGATCTGTTTTCTGGGACATTAAGGATACGCTAGGAAACGTGCCTGAACTTCTCTCCTTAAAAAGCACGCTAGATTGTATTCCTGAAAGAGCCTTAGTGACATAGTGGGGTGTGTGTCAGGATTCTAAGCCCCACTCGGCTCCACGGTCAACACTCTTGGCACCAGCAGCCAGGAAATCAAAAAGCGTATCGCGATGGGAAAGTCCGCTGTTAGGGACCGCTCTAAAGTACTCAAGAGCAACGGTGTCTCTCTGGAGACTAAGGGGCGCCTGATACAGGCCATGGTCTTTGCAATCACTTGTTATGCATCAGAGAGTTGGACAATGACCAGGGAGGACAGAAGGAGAATTGATGCCTTTGAGCTGTGGTGCTGGAGAAAAGTATTGAATATACCATGGACTGCCAAGAAAACAAACAGATTCATCCTAGAGAGGGTTAAACCAGGATACTCCTTGGAGGCAAGGATTCTGGGGCTTCATCTGACATACTTTGGACATGTTGTCAGGAGGGACGGGTCCTTGGAGAGGGACATCATGCTTGGGAGGGTAGAGGGACAGCGCAGGAGGGGAAGACCCTCTATGAGGTGGATTGATTCAGTGACTAGGGTAATCGGGATGGGTGTGTCAG